CCTACCTCCACTACTGCTACTAGGAGAGGGCGAACGGCGAGGTCCACTCGAGCGAGCACTACTACGTCGGGGCATTTACTCTTAACAACAAGCACTAAACTGTACGGTATGCGAGATCCACCACAAAACTCTCCCCGAGGGAACGTGAAGGTAATCCTCAGCTTGCGTCGTTGAAGACGCACATGACTTGAGGCCACTTGCAAATCTTGAGTTTCCCTAACGCGTGTGACGGCTCAAAATCGCCAAATAGCTGCTACGAAATCAACTTCGAGTTTTAAAATAGGTTTATTGGACCCCGTAGTTAATCTGCGTTGATCCGTCTTGTCTATCGATTTTTCATCCTTTCTAGGAGCTATTCTCTCCTATGTGACATGCCCATTGTAACTTCACTCGGGGTGGGGTGGACCGGGTTCTCATTTCACGTCATTGTTCCTCCGGCCGCTACTCTGCGGGTTTTATTTATTATTTCTTCCACTGGTCAAAGCCTTAAGTCATAAATTGAAAGTACGTTATTGAAATAATAAGTGTAACGTTGATCGCTACCCTTGACTCAAGCGTATTGATAAACGTTTACATGTGATTTGGTACAGTCTACCGTATTTACAATTCTTTTCACACTAACAAAATCGTCACATTTTTGTTCATATTGGTTTTCGGAGTAGTCCTTAAAACTCGTTATGGTCTTCGTTGTAGCCGTGGTTTGCATATGGATCGTCGGCGAGCCGTACGCAAGCGAGTGGACCACCTCTGTAGGGTTATCAAGAGGAGCTCATTAAGGGTGACGAAGAAGGAGGAGAAGTAATACCACACCGACTTGGGTTTTACACATTTTTTCTGTAGAAATCCTCTGGCAACTTTAGACGTGGAGGCCTTCTTGAACGGTCTCAACGAATTAGAAGATTTCTCGGCGACTGAAATGTAGTAGTAGATCATGTGAGCGTGTTGACGACAGTATTGGTTTTAGATATTCGACTGAGGGCGGCGGTGGTGGTAGTAGTAAGGTATATGTAGGAGGGTTGGACGATGCGTGTAACTTTGCGGAGTTAAAACGTCGAGATATCGGAACGATTATTAACTGTGCCGGGGCTCAGTGTGAGTTGACGGTTATATACAGTGTGAAAGGAGTCGTTATGGCAATTTGAGAGAGTCTTCCACACAAGGAATATAGGTAGTCGGTTTTTATCACTATCATGTTGATGTAAAAATACGGAGGTTAGTCTCAAACAGAAATGTCACTATTTTCACGCGTACTCGTACTACTGCATTACCTCGTGAATATCCATTCTATGAGCCTCTTCGTATCGGTAGGTGCTCTGGCTCGACTACAAGCTGACGTTGTCGGCGGTCCTAATCCATACAAGGATGTCCGATTTCAAGAGGAATATTATAAGGGTAAACTAGGAGGTCATATAGAGTAGGAGGATCTCAGTGAAGGGGCAAGGTTCATATAGTGGCTTTAGATATGTTTCTATTGCGGCTGAGGATATGCCCCGGTATCCAATCGAGAAGCATTTTGATGAGGTCAGCAGTGTCCATTAAAAGTTGGTTGAAAATTTTAGCTCAGGTGGCGATGTGTGTAGATCGAGGAATCGCAAATGGGCATTCAGTGTTTATACACTGCATGCAGGGATATAATAGGAGCTGTGCACTGCTGTGTGCGTGGCTTTGTGGAGGAATCCGAGGTCCAAGGATGGTAAGATTCATTTTAGGCCCGAAGTGGTACCATGTCATTAGAGTCTGTGTGAAGCAGTGGAGTTGTTGGCGTCGAGACGACAACATGTCCTCAGCAATCGGGGCTTTTTGGGGAAGTTAGTGGAGGCGTATTGGCCGCCGAGTGAGGAGGAGATCAAACGCAGTGTTGGTAATAATGCTGGCTGTGGGAATCGAACCCGGGTCCTCTGAAGTACGACTTGACAGGCCCCCTGGTTGACCTGTATGGTGAGCATGTGATGGAGGCTCCGATTGATCTGGTTGGAGAGGTTAAAGAGTGCGCCACCGCGGGGCCGATGGTGGCCGTATCGAGTAATGGGAAACCCCTGTCGAGATTTGCTCAGAGTAGGAGGATGAAAAAGGAGCTCACACAGGATAGCTGATGCTCACGAAGGGGGATGGTGACTGTGATGTGGCGAAGGAGTGGTATGGAATCCGGCCGCGCGCTCGCCTTAGTGGAAGGGTTGCTTCGACTTCTGGGAAGATGGTAACGCGAGTCTCTTGACGTAGTCTTGGGAAGATGGTGTTGATATGTGAAATTGGAGGCCCTGGGATTCGAACCTGCGACCTTATGCAGGTGTTATTGCTTTTAAACATGTCAGCTCTGAAGGTTTTTGAGGCAGCTCCCGACGCTACTGGATTTGATAACAGCAAGCGCGTCTCTTTACATAACATGATACCAGTAAGGAATAATCGACTTTTAGTCGTGGTGGATCGCGAAGATATTTCTTGCTATGCATATCGTGGTGTATTAGGCTCCTCATGATTCGCCCAAGTTGATAAGCAGACAAGAGAAGTTGTATGATCAGGATGCTATGGCTTTTATCATCACAAGAAACAAAAATGACAACACGGTGTGTTACCGGTAATAGAAATATTAGTATTAGGTATTAGTGACTTGAAGTGGAGCTCACGCTCAAAACCCGTGAACTATTACTGCTAAGGAAAGGATCGCCCCGAGAACTAATATTTTCTTTGTGGTTTTCTGCATATTTTTGAATGGGCGTAGTCATGAAAAAAGTTTTATATAGTTTAATATTGATCAGGAATCGGCAATGGTATAATGGAGTTTCACGACTGCCCGTTTTACGTGAAGTGGCGTAAAAGCCGGTGAAAACGCGATATTCGCGACCTGTACTAGTCGCGAAATATGTTTTTCACTAACGTTTTCTTCATATCACTAGGGTGAAATTTCGATAATATAAATATAATGAATATAATAAACAGTGTGCCAATTTGATGATATGCAAATGTGGAGAATGTGCGTTTTCTATTCCGGGATTAACGATAGTGAACAGCTTGTCGTCGCTATCATGGTCTCGAAAAGGTTGTCATCATCACAGTACATGTTCATAGCAATGTTCATATTGTTCATGCGATATAGATTCAGAACGATTCTTATTCATCTCGGAAAATTCCATCTGCATATCAAGTTGACACGCACTGTATATGGACTAGATTTGAGATCGTAATAATAAATAAATATTCAACTCTTTAATACTTACCTTGCAAAATAGTTCATCATTCACGCACAACGCGCAGTGAAAATTTATATCAAGGTTTATCGTTATATATTTATACATGTATATGATATCATTATAATATTATCACTAATTACTATTATTAATAAGATTATATATTATGACATGATTATTATAGTGATAATTATGTACTATTGACAGTATAGATTCCGTTCGCTCCGTAATTCGTGTTTCTGGTCAGGGCCAAGTTTTCGCGCCCTGGAGTACTCGACAAGGGAGAACCGATAGAAGCATATTGGATGGATTTTGTGAAATATAAGACCCCGAGATGAGCGAGGAAAATGCAA